TTTTTTATTTTTTATAATTCTAAAAACTTACCTGTTTCCAAAAAAGCAAATATAGGGTTGTAGGGATTAAAAATCCTTACAACCCCATATATTTTTTTTTGTTTTACCCATTATTTAATGCAAGAAAAATATGGTAAATTCGGGTCCGCGACGTGGACGAGGCGGTATATACGTCCGCCATCCAACCTCGACCCTGCGGACGTGCCCGCGGGTGTTTCATAGCCGAGTATGGGGACTGCTTATCGCATTCTCTGCCTTCCTAGATATAATGTGCGTAGAGACCTACTTTTAGGTTAACGCATGACCGCGCCTGCGTTGTACACTTCCGGAGAGGACGGTGTGTCGGCGCCTCGTGGAGAGCGACATCACAGCAGCATTAATGAGTTAGAGTCTCATATTGCTAGGGATGAGGCGTGATTGAGGGAGTTGCACGACGTGCGCGACAGGGAGCGCGCGAGGTTGGCGGCGACGTGTGCCGCAAAGCCGACACAGAGGAGGAGCCCATCGATGTTCTGAGGCGCGGGGAGACAGAGAGAGAGAGATTGGGCAAGGCTGGGACACGTACGACATCGTCGACACGGGGACGACGACGAGCAGGCGGTGGCCGGGGGCAGTAGATATGTCTTCCTGTTTATTTGGATGTTTTCCATGGTTCGGTGCGTGGTTTGTAGTCGTTTCTTTAGTTCCTCATATGTGCTTTAGTTTCACAGTTATTTATGCGGGTTTTTTCCACCTTCCCAGGACTCGTGTGTAGTCCAAGGCGTCAGACGGTGCGTGTGATAGCGGAGGTCCTTTGTGGTAGGTTTTTTTTATCTTCGCTTTTGTGAGACACATGTATACTAATGACAACTGTTCTGTGTTTTTTTTTCCCTAGAGGATGACGTCTGTACATATGGAGAGTATGTAGTTTCTTATGTAGGTGGATAAGAGTCATAGGAGGAACAATTGTTCGATGAGACATTTGTACTTCCGCAGTCTTCCGGGGATCTGAGTCCTATATCACATGTTGTTCGACTTATGCAACAGTTGTATTGGTTTTCCCTGCTCGTTGTATGATTGTGTTGTATGAGTCCACACTCACAGTGAGTCACATGATCGCAAATGTACATTATTGTTTCATATTTCTTATGGATTGTAAGTTTTGTTTGTGTGTTTGGCAATGTGGTGTGTTTTAGTG